AAAAAGTGACGCCCACGACCTTAAAGGCACGAATTTGAGGTAAAATGGTTCAAAAGGAAAACTGAGTGGGTGAGAATGCGTGAAATGTTGCTGCCAGACTTGTCCAAAAGTACTTGCCAGCAATAGTTGCCACATGCCCTGACAATCACAGTAGTCCCACATTTGAGGCTCAACATAGTCAGGGTTATATAATAACCACAAAGAAGTATACGCCATGTCCTATTTCTATTCTAAATTGTACAGCCGATTGCGGACACAGGTTTTCATAAAAAAAAAGGAAAAGAGGTCATGGTCAGGCTAGAAGTTCCCAAACAATTGATACCGACTGTAACCCAAGCCAAGGTACGCTTGACTGGAAGAACTCAGAAGATCATGAAAATTTACAAAAGCGGGCTCCTCCAAGTCAATCCTAATGTCTACCCTGAAGCCCTGAAACAGTCCTAATGAAAGGCATTTCAAACGTCATGTGTTTGGTCATATGGCAATCGTGGCATTCGGATGACAGACGATTCGACAAACCGATGGTTAAATGACCGATGTTAAAATTAGCCACAATGTGAAGGTCCGTTCCAGGAGTGAACAATAAGCCAAATTAAAGCAAATTAAGGTGATATGTCCGTGAGCAAATTTAACAGACAAGGGCCCGTCTAGGCTCCGGTATGGCTACCACGAATAGAAAAGTTGATTTGCAAAATCCTAAATGAGAAGAGAAGGGGAAAGAGAGAAATTGACAGGACAAGCTGTAGGGGAAGGTACTTGAATGTGTCAAAGTAATAGTCAAATTTGACTGAGTAAGGGCTATTTTATCCCCTAACTCGTGGTATTTTGATTGGTTACTATTATGGTAAGCAAAGAAGAAAAAATGAAAGGATAAGTTACAAACTATCAAGGTTCGGGAATACGCCATGCACTCCAACACATTCAAAGTTATAACTGAATAAGTGCAAAATTATAGCGAGCTTTCAAAGTTGTCAAACTGGATGGACAGAGAATTTGCCCACGATTCGCATGACACCAGGGGATCAATAGGCTCTATAGAGTGGCGGCCGAGGGGGGCAACGGCGAAGCTAATTGAGTGCGTGCTGCGTCAGCGAAGGCCTCTGTAACGACAACGTCGACGGCATAACGCGCACGGAAATGTCGGAAAAGCGCTAAGACTCCCGTTAAACAAACATTTACGTTCAAGAGTATCGTTAAGATGCTGGGTGCTTGTAGCCGGTAACCGTCAACGGAACTGGAACAACTGTAGAACGTACCAGACACATGAATCATACTATAGGACGTGATTCATATCTAAAGGAATTGCAAAAAAAAAACTCGAGTAAAGTCACGCTGTAGCAGTTGCGACCTACTGGTACGCGAAGGGGTAAAATTGGAAAACAATAGATCATCGAAAGTGGGAAGGCGGACGCCCTCCAGTTGACGTCAACATCAATAAGCTCCTCGAGGATCACCAAGCAGCAAGTAACAAGTGTGTTTACGTTCCTGGGAATGACATCGGATGACACATGAAACAAGCGGTATTTTTCAATACCGCAGCTAGCACAGGGGACAAACAAATCCTGCCCAGATTAACTAACTTTGCATCTACTCTGGAATCAATTATCTAGTACGGTCCAGAGCACTTCTGACTCTTTCTTGAGCCGGAACCAGCCATGAGATTCCTTAAAAATTGGATTGAATGTGAAGAACATCCCGAATGTTAGAGCGATCTTAATTTCTTTATGCAAGATAGCTAGCTTTCTTTAGAAAAATCTGCTACCGAATAAGCGAACCACGTAATAACATTCGCAATCAGAGCCAGGATTGTATAACTCGAAGATTGTAGGGAAGAGAATCCAAGGCGAACCATCAGGACTACCTGTAGAGAAACCTGCTGTGTGCGGGCGATAGAAACCCTGGAATTCGGTAAGCTATCAGTAGCTTAGCAAAAACAGTAAGCAGTGATCCGAGCGATAAAAGAATGGAACTCCTCCGGAAACGTAATCCAGTAGTTTCAGAGCCACCTTAGCTTCTTTAATCGGTCATATCTCTGTGCGATCACTATGTCGTCCCAACGGTGAGATGTGGTTGGTGTAAACGAAATGAGCAATTGCCTAAAACGTGCTCAGACTTATGTTATAGCAACTAATGAGTGCTACACAACAAGAGCGGATTATAAGCTACCGTATAACTACTTCTTATCGGATGATCTCATGCAGCAACTGGCTTCATAATAAATGCGATTACATCAAGCTTCTAATGCAACGACAAAAAAGCTACATCAGAACTTCTCCTATAAACTTCTTTCGATCATGAGACGAAGGAGCACAGACTGAACGTCTTTGATAGGTTGATCTGACCAGTTCACTAATCCCACGCAACAAATGCATGAAGGAGAGATGGTAGAAATGGCAGGCATTTGAAGTGACGAAGAGATCGACTGCTTAATACCCACTGAGACTGAAATTGCTCAGACAAAAGTTCGTAAACAGAGGAGAACAGAGCAGAAATTATTCACAGATAAGCAGACAAACAAGCAAATAAACAGTTTAACACGCTGCTACTGCACAGCTGAAAACCAGCTGACGGCCAAGCCGGAAGAGCCAGTTGAATGCTTGCAAAAAAAATGCAGAAAGACAGGCAGACAAACAGAGAGAGACTCGAAAAAGACAAGCATGTGGATAGACAGAAAGAATGGAGTGTACAAACAAATAGCCACATCAGATTTGCAGTTGAAATTGAGGAAAGAGAGATGGACTAGGAAATGGGCAAAATGGTCACTTGGCGATAGGAAGAAAATCAGCTTCGACAGACAAACAAATCACATCAAGCAACAAATAGGCAAACGAATACACAGATTGAGATAATTGAAGACGTGGACCATGGTAGAAACTAACGGTATAAATTACAGTTATTTTGGGACTTTACTTTAATTTACTTTCGGAATAATTTGTTACACTGCCATTTGGACAACAAAAAAATCAAACGAATTTAATTCCATTAAATTTTCATAAAATTCATGGCAAGTTTTTTGGGTAGACCGATAAGAAAACAGTGGGACAAACGAAATTCCTGATTTATTCTGAACGGTCCTACTTCTTTTACAACTCTACTGAAATGCATTTTCCCACTATCCGGGCTCTTCTATCCCCGTTTCCTTCCGGGTGACATTCGGAGAACTAGAGTAGCGAAACAAACCATGGTAAAGCCATCGCTAGCAACTGTACACTACTTTATTAAAAAGAAAATAAACAAATAAAAATCAACAATTGAACAGTCCATACATCCTTTCTGGTGAGAAATGATCGGGTTAGTAAGCATTTAAGTGAACGAGGCGCGAAAGTGCTGAACAAGATCGGGCGAATGTCCGAAAAAAGCGTGTCGCCCGCATATCCGCTAATCACCGCCACCACAGCCACCACCAAATCCACCAAACGCAACTAATACATCGACAATGGAACCGGTGCTTTCACCACAGCACACGGAATGGTCTTTGACACAATTTGCGCCCACATAATGACAGTCATCGTCGTCGTCGTCGTCGTCGAGATTGAAGGCACTTTGGCCGAGTTACGACAGAAATCTCTTTGCGATTTCCCTCACTTGAAAAACTCGCCCTGGGATTTCCCACATTAAAAGAAAAAGCATTTTTGAAAGTTTCCGGAGATTACAAAGTTTCAAAAAGATCTTCACTGAGAAAAGTTCTCAACGATATAGTTCACTGAAGTAAACAAACAAACGTAAGCAAATGAATAAATAATGGAATGACCAAGGAAAAACCACGCGACGATTGTGGAAGCGAGTCAGAAATGCATCGTGGCGCTTAAAGCATTGCTATGGAGAAGAACAAATATAATGGAATGGACAGGGGGAACTTTAGAACCAAATCCGGGCGGAAATTGGAGTCAAACCTTCTTCTACTGGGTAAGGTGGGCGCATTCAAAAGTCACCACACTTCTGAGTGGTGTCGAAAATGGGTAAAAATGAAACCAAATAAATCCTAAAAGCGATCAATAGACGCCGGGTATGCACGCCTCATCTAACCCAAAAGACCAGTTCTCGCTACAAATGAGGCATATGATGGGAATCATGAACACTGTACGACGTCGATACTTTCAAATGACAAGGAGGTAGCTCCAGTATCACTTCTCGTCTTTTTAAGACCTCTCAACCCTGGAGAAAACTGGTTTCGAACAGCTTCGCAAGATGTTTAGAAGAGTGATTTATGATGGAAATATGAAGAAAGGGAAACGCTGCCCGTTCTTAACCCGATTCCCAGACTTTCTTTCATGCGAGGTTTGCTTGCAGGCGGAATCAAGTATCAGACAAAGCGCTAACAAAAAAAAACTTCCAAAGAGATTAAGTGTACAAAAGAGAGAAATTGCCATCCGTTCCTATTGTTAGAAAACAATGGAGTTTTGCAAAGAATTGCCCCGAACCAGGATCGAACTGGTGACCTTTAGATCTTCAGTCTAACGCTCTCCCAACTGAGCTATCGAGGCATCTGTTCACAACGGCGCTCGCTCTCTTCACATGCACAGGGCGCTGACACACAGAGTAGGCAACCACAATTTCAGCTGACTGAGAGCGTATCTCATGGTTACTAAGACACAGAGATGCGACACACATAATATATGAATTTAACAATCAATCGAGCAAACCGAGCAAGGTTCGCAGGCGGGGCGCATTTCTACCAGAAAAAAATAAACAGGACGATAAAAATAAAGTTATTTTGGTCGAAATAGAGACTTCGGGGGCCAGTTCAATCAATAACAAGAAACTCGGTCGAGGCGAGGAACGAATGGGGCTTTATGATATGTCAACTAGTAAAACTGAGGATGAAAACATTTCTAAAGTCAAAATTCAAACAATCAATGTATGACTTTGAAAATTCTAAGAAAATTCAAAGTCTCCCTCTGTGTTGTGCAGGCAACGAAACCAAAAAAGTCTGAACTCTCGTAGCAAAAAAAAAAAGGAAAAAAGTATAAAAAAAGAATCATCGAAAGTCAATAAAAATTTCAAAATATCTGGAATTTGCTGAGAACTTGAACTTTTATATTCTAAAATTCAAAAAAAAAATTATTTTTCTCCGTTTAAAAGCAGATCGATAACCATCAACCTCATGCAAAACGAACTAGCCTTAAAACACTTGACGTTGACCAGTCCCAATTTCTAGAATGCGCCATGCATTCGATTTTCGCCAAGATTTTCAGTAGAGCTCCACGATTCGAGCGAGATTCAGAGTTGAAATTACTGGTTAATCAGTAAATAAATGAAAGCTCATGATTTGAGCTGTGCTCAGATCTTTGACGAAACACTCATGGAGAAACTGAAAGCATGGAAAAACAACGAACAGCTGTGAGGGCGCCATCTCCGCTTTCGACGTGAGGTGCGATGCCATCGAAAACAAATCACCTTCACGGGACGGGGAAAACACCTTGAACATGCCAACGCGAAAACTTATTCAGTTCTTTCCCTTCCTTTAAAAAGTCTCTAGAGTTTCTAAAAACAAGGTACGCCTTGACGATGGAATTGTAAAAACTACGAAAAAAAAAAGGAGAAAAAGTAGGAAGTCATACAATCAATGAGTGAAATTCTCTGCCCCGACTACTATGGAAAGACCAAGAGAGATGATCTAATAAGGAAAATTTTCAAGAAAAAAAGAATTTGTAGATACTTTGGAAAACACTGAACATTCAAGGGAAGGGATTTCTTCCAGAACTAAGACCGAAATGAAGTAAGATGCAAAAAAAAAAAATAATTTTTCATAAACAAAAATACTATGAATCAAAAATACATGTAGGAAAGGAGTTATCCTTTCCTGCTCGTATTTCTGATTAATTCCGAATGAATAATTTAGTTTGTAACCGTCTGCATCAAACAATGTCAACCAGCTGTTCACCAGGCGAGTAAAAAGAAAACTGAAAATGATCGTGCGCGATTTGCAGTACGTCCACCTTTCGTGGAAATGAATTGGATGGCTAAGAGAACGACGAGTGACCATAAAAGCGAATCCTGATAAGAAAAATGCAAAAGCGAAAAATAAACAAGCTAAATACGGCAAAAACGAGTACAAAAAACGTCGGTGAAAAGAAAATCGAGTAACGAACCCGGAAAACTTGGTGCTTTCAAAGTATTCGTTAATTAACAGCATGGTTTCAATATCGAAGAGTAGAAAAGACGTGTATGCATGATTAGTGATCGAGAAAGCGTGGATCTTACGTGAGCTGATCCATATTCCAACAAGGCAGTAGCTCAACACTCGAGAAAATCGAAATGTAACTTCCCAATCGTAAGTTCCGAGCCTACCCATTGTAAAGAGTATGTAAGTTTCTGCCACCCAAGGAGTTCAACTTGCTACTTATCCTTGGAATTGTCAGTGAACTACATTTCTGATGACAAAAACATACTGCGATGCCTGGCTATGATCCATTTTACAAGTTAAAAAGAAACCAGACGAGAGAAATGTAACGCCAAGACCGAGTGGTAGGCGATCGACAGGTTTACCTTCCGGCCTCTCCCCGCCTATCTTAGAACGCAATCACCTACTTTTACCTAAGTATCAACCATTTTCTTACTAGAAATCATAGTATCTAGCGAGTAGTCTTCCCAAATCATCCCTCAAGTGGCTGGAATCAGTCGAGGGCTGAATGACCCATGAAAAGCCAGCTGAGCAGCATTCACCAAGTCGGTGAAACTAAAAATAACAGAGGCGATCAGCAGAATTAGAACGGAAAACGAATGAAACACGAATGTAGTAATAAAAAAAGCATAGTACGGCCGTATCAACGAGAACGTCACAATGGAATCAAGCAAAAGAAAATGCTTTATTGAATCATAGAACAAAACGGAACAAGAACATAGCAATAGTCGCCTAATCAAGAAAATCGCCAAAACGATCGGTCAAGTTCCAGCCGACGTACCACGGCGATCAATTAAACATCGGAACAACTTGACGAACTGGCTTCAACAGTTTCACGTACCTCTTATCATGCGTTCAAAGACCTGACCTACTTCTCTTCAACCATCAACTGTTTGAGATTCCTGTTGATTGTCGATGGCATCTTTATTTTCTTCAGAACTCACGGCCTCTTTCGACTCTATGGTTGCAGCCGGTCCCTTGCTATCCTCGTGTTTCTCGTCTTTAGGATGCATGTTGTATTTCCGTTTCGAATAATAATTAGGTATCCCAGCAACCATCATCGTTTTTCGTACCAGCTGTATCATGAATGTCACATCGGCGCCTGAAAAATAATCCCCGATATTGTCTGATATTCCGATGCAAATATTATTCCTCCTAATTAGCTTGCTACGTTACTCCTTGTAAGGCTCAAAGATAAAGGGCGGATGTGGTATCTTTTATCCCTTTGGGATCGATAATTGGTACTAGACTCGTCTGGGAGGATAACCACACTGACTCGTGCATCGGCTGCATCGGCAATTTGTTGAATTGTCCACACACACGCACACAGTCGAAACGTTTCGAAACGAAAATTCTCATCTCATCCGCCTGAGCCCGAGCCCAATGTGGGAATTCTCATAGCCCGTAGTTTTCCCAACACCCCGCGCTCAAAGATTTTTCACGCGAGCACAGCATGAGAATTATTATGCCGAATTGGCATTATTCTGAGCACCGCTTATCAACGGAAGAGTTGTATGTCACGGAAACGTTCTCCGACCCATAATCCGAGCACATCCGTCCCCCACCCTACATTAGGTTTACAAGCTTCTACCTACCACTCAAATCCACTCTCGCCGCTGGAGCGATCGTATTCACTGCATCGCCAAGCATTTCCAATACGTCTGATTTCTTGATCGAATCATTATTCCGTGCTTTGAATTCCATAGCATATGACGGCACCGAACCGTCGTCCCTAGCCTTTAAATGTTTTGCCACGCACTGAAAATTGTTCTTTAGCTATATCGACAAATTCATAAACCCAGAGCTGAACCTTACAGCAGAATAGGAATTACCTTTGTTATCATATCGTTCAGTTTCTTCAAATTAACATCAGCTGTCTCCTCTACTGGTAGGACTCGCTGAAATTGGACTGTATATCGAGAGTCTCTGTTAGAAAAATTCTCTGACAGTCAGAGTAGTATAACGGCAAAAGTTCCTTTTACATGATCGAAGACGGAGATAAAATTCTTCTCAGGTACACCGAACCCACCAAGCCCCCAGGAACTAATCATACCGTTTCAGACATAAGCTGCTTTCGAGAACCATACCCACAAATGCCCAGAAATGCAAGCTCACATGACTTCATGAAAAAATAAGAGGCTAGGCTCAACCATAAAATTTTGGTCCGTTCGACGGACGTTCTCGCTCTCGCTGAAGTCCGGTTTCGAAAAACTTCCTATGGGAAAAAGGTTTGGGAAAAAGACAAACGTAAAAGGTGAGGCAGCGCGAATAGGTACTGTGTCCTGATTAGATAGAAATGTGATTCGACTCGTTTTATACCCTCTAGACATCGACATTAAGAATCTCTGGAACTACGAGTTGGCTGAACAACTTAGAAGAAGTAAGGTGTTTAAGTGTTTTACACTTTCTCAAAGACAGCGAACAGGCGTAGGCAGGTTAGGGACACAGAATTGCAATCAGGATCAGACCATAAAGAGAAGAGGGTTACCTAAAAGAACGAAATACGAAATGACCCAGTCAGTACAACAACTGCCTAGAGATGAAAAAAGACACCTTTCAATGACCTGGAAGAATGTTCCTGAAAAAACCAACTGAAAGGTGCGCGAAAAGTAAGTCTAGATTAGAGAGCCGAAAGGCTAGATGGCCACTTGAACCAGATCGCCTATTCGACAACTTAAATGGGGGCGTTCACGAAATTCTTTTTCTTACAATTGCCAGAACCGAATGATATCGTCGAAGTGTTGGGTAAACCATTGAACAAATACCTGGAGGAGGTAAGGCCTAACTCCGAGAACTGAATTTTTGAGCGTTGTTATAAAACGATTTACGTGCTTCGGGAAGCTGAGCCAACTATTATCAAGATGAACTGTCGATAAAATGCTGGGAAACTCTGTAGTTCAAGGAAAAACATAAGATTTTCCCTCAGCATAGTTCACCGAATGACTCCCCAACAAATTAGACACCTGATTGGAGGCTGAAAGCCTAGGGTTTTCGGGAACTATTTATTTTGTAGATTCACTTTCATGCGACATTTACAAATCTACAGAAGAAAACCTACTTGCAGATATCGACATTGTCTGGACGATTGGGCATGAGTAACCATTCGTTCGGCCAAGTCCACGACATCGGCGTCTGTCAATTGAAAAAAAATTTTTAACTCGCAAAAGCCGACAAAGTCAATGATTATGTGCAATGAGTCCTTTCTCAACCTAGTTGTCGAGAATTTATTCAAAGTAAGGGAGATGGGGAAGCTACCACCGCTGTAAAGACAGCTAATCGGATACTCAGTCCAATGTAGCATGTGCTGTTCAGAAGAAGAACATCATTTGGTTCTCTGAGATAAGAACTCAAGAGAGACGCACATTCAAATGCTACCATTATTACAAATAGATGCCGAGTGCGCGGTGCGATCCAGAAATCACTCTCAAAACAAGCGGCGGCTAAAGATGAAAGGTGAAAGCCGCAAGGTAACTATACGAAATTCTAACCAGAACACTGGTTAGGTCAGAGAATAAAGTAAATCAAACAATGATTCATAGCAATCACTATTTAAGTAGCAACCAATGGAAATAGTCAGAAGTATACCTTGCACTGTAACAAATAGGCAATTCTTCACTCCTGTCGGTCTTTGTCTACATCGACGTATTTTGCCACCACTGCCACGTGCTTCATCGCAAACCTTCACAAGTGAGGAAATTAGGTAAAAGGTAAAATCGTATAATGGAAGAATGAGAAATTGGAACGGTGCTTCCTAAAAGAGCTCGGGCCCAGACGAATAAAACCCAACAAGGAATGAAATTTTCGAGTGGCTTTTCGAATGAGCCATTGATGCAGGTCTCTTAAGGAGTCGAGTATTAAATTGAGTCCAAGTTCACCTTAGCTTGCAGTAACATACAGCATTTGACTTCAACTGCCCTCCCACTTTCGTGCTCTCAAGTAAGCAATACCTAATATTTCCCAGTGAGCCAAGCTCTACAAAAGATGCCCGATATGCTCGCCTGGAAACAGCTGATCTTCAACAACTTCAGTATTCTATGAGATTTCCTGCAGTGAAAACCCCTGGCTCAATGATTTGAAGGCATTTGTGTATTTCGAGTTGTCAAAACCCGTTTGCCGGAAACATCTTCAAGATGGTGTAGGGGTCAAACAAACGCCTCAAATTTTCCGGCACTATTATCACACAGCCTTACATGAGCTGACGAAGATCTTGGTTTTTTCTACAATTGAGCATGAATATCAAATGCGTGGCGCACCCTGAAATAGATGAGGAGCTGTAAGTACCCTAACTGTCAAAGCGAAAGAGCGATATCTTTGAAATACAAATCACTCCGGGGTAAGGTGAAAAGATTAGAGGTAGAGGAGAAGCCCAACGTTAGTTACACCTCAGTAGGATACGCCAAGCATTCGAGTCTCAAACAGAATCACACCGTTCTAATAGACACCTCCTCAACAGTGACTTGTTGACGCAACTGATGAACACGCTGGCAGTGAAATTTCCCTTAACGAGGCTGGCCTCAAACAAAAGGACGGCTTAGTACCTTCGAACAAATCTGGCAAGGAATTTGATTTCCAAACTACAGGCACAGTGCCGGCGCCCTTCCTGTCCTGCATCTTCAGTCTTTCTCCACAGCATAGTGTAGGCGGTAGTAATGTTTTCTTCATTTGTGAGGATCCAGAAAACATCAGAAACAACCCCTCAAATATTGACAGCCTTCGAAGATCACTACTACGAGGTCTATTCAATGGCTTCATGATCATTAAAGAGAGTTGTGTGGTTCATTTCACAAAGTTGTTAATAATTTTAATTACTTCGCCTTAGATGAAGATTTGAGGGCAATTTTTCCTTCTGAGAATTGATAAACCTCACAAAACAATGGCTACAAAATAAACCCGTTCGCACTTACCCTTTTTAATGAATCTGCAACGTCCTCATCGTCGTCTTCAGCGGATTGTTCCCCATCATGTTCTGGTTCTGGTGCTAAAACGAATTTGAAGCGAAGTGTGCAGTAAGAAATTAGAAGGGTTCCGACAAAGAAAGATGGTTGTTTCGAAGCCCCACATTAAGCGCCCGTGTACACATTGTGGGTAACTAATCCCTGTGACGAACAAACCACCAACACGGGACCGAATCATTCCGTTCGCTCTGCGACGATTCTCGTTTCAAGATCGACATCGAGATAACCAGCCAAACAATGATGAATGTGGGCTTAATTGGTGATCGGACCGCAGCCAAATAAGCCACGCACTGCTACAACTTCGTATAACCCAAAGTTTCTGCATCTCCCACTTCCTCCGAGGAATTGAGAGTAAATAGTCACGAAGCAGCTGAAGACGTGACCCGGGATACAAAGTGCATTTGTATAGAAAAACAAGAAATCGAAGAAAAAACACTGAGCTCGATTACGTAGAACAATGTAAAAGGAAAAACGATAACAAACAAATAAACAATTATGCAGGGCATACATTAGAACAGCCCCATTTCTACTACTTGAAAGTTAGAACATGAAAAAACACAAGTTTCAATTTTCGCTTATGTTTTTTTTAAATCGGAAAGAAACTCCTAGAAACTTTGAGTTTCTCAAAAGGCGCAAGTTCAGCACGATGTGCACGGGAGAAGTACAGCCTATCGTGCACACCGTGCTGAACTACCCAGACGCGGTTTCTCGAACTGACGTGGGCATGAATTGTTGAGATTACTCCAAATTTCAAAGAAATCACACTTCGGGGCTAACCTTTCTGAGTGTTGTCCATCAAAGTATCAATAATATTGTATGCTTCAGCGATAGCCTGTTTTTCATGATTGTCACATGTCATGAAGAGGCCACTGATCCCTGCCTCCACGGACTTCTGTTTGACACTAGAATGGAAAAGTTAATGGTGAAACTCAGAGTAAAACAGCTGCGAAGATTCCAGATAGCAGCTACAGTCTGCCCTACCGGGGAAACGGGCAGTAGGGACGGTTTTGGGCAAGCGATCCGCCGTACGCGGCTGTCGCGGACCATATGCCTTGTTATAACAGTTCCAGGGTTCTTTATACAGCTCAATCGCTATGCGATTATTACTTTTGGCATGATTCTACTGTTGGCTCTTTTGTTCCTGAATGCTTACTTGCTGCTGCATTCTGCTACATTCCTTCGCCGCGGTGTCTCTCACCGCGACGCGACAATTTCGTTTCTACTGCCCCACACCCGCCCTACCGTTTCTAATCTGGCCATTGGTGAAGGGACCCCGCGAGTAGAGGTCAAAGGGTATTGATAGATGCAGATTAGAAAGACTAAGCCCACTCTGGTCAGGGCTAGGCCAGACCTTCAGAGCACATCACGTGCTTTGAGAGGAAAAAAAGTATGACAATGGTCTGACGCTCAGAATCTCCATGACTAATCTTTCGCTATTTTCTCCATCCCGAAGGTGACAGTGACTCATGTGTGATGTGAGACGAGAATCATCAGAGACACTCCTCG